CTGTTGCAGTTGCGATTTAGGATCGTTCCAACGTTGTGAAACGATAAAGTACTAAATTATTGTTACCATTATTATTTTTATGACTGATATTATTATCACTATTTCAATTGAATGAATGATATGAACATTATTAATACAGAATTCATTATTGATAAATAAGTTAATAAACAAATGAATAAAGTAATACCTTTAAACGTGGAAAGAAACAAACACGACAAAATATTTTACAATATCCAAGACCACGATCTACATATAATGCGCCCAGAAACGCTGCAAATTTATTCTTTCATTAAAATCTTACATAATAATAAATCAATAAATAAAAGCAATACAAAACAAACTCACATTCGACAAGATCTGCCTTATCCTTAATTCTCAAAATCGGAATTCCATNCGCACAAATACTAACCTTATTACTGACCAAACACGTGCGCAATATAGACAAATGCCCTTCGTGATGCATCGGAAAGTGCTTATAGAGGTAATCAGTCGTTATCAATTGCAATACGGTGTCACCCAAGAACTCGAGTCGTTGATTGTGACCTCTTTAATATACACAATCATTCATTATGTTCCCAATAAGCAATATATACAATTAATAAACACAAACACACATATATAAATAAATCTATTTTAAAACAATTTTATGGTCAAAATTCAGAACAGAACCAACAACAGCAGTAACAACAAAAGTAATAAAAGTAAAGAAATAACCAACAAAGTCAAATTATTGAATCCAATATTTCGACGAGTGAACGCCTTCGCCAGCACACGAATGTGTTTGAAGGTGATGCCGATACTCTTTTCGAATTCGGTTAACAATTGCAACGAGGGAACTTCTTTTATCAAATGTCGATCGCCGTATGGATTATCACGCTGAATTTTTGATGCTGCTTTACTAGTAACAGGTAAACACTAAACAAATAAATAAACAAATTGATCTGATCAAAACAAACCTTTAACGGATGTTCTTCTAATTCAAACCAAGCATTCAAAAGATCTTTATTATCGCCGAACATCGCATTTCCAAATATTCTAAAAATAATTCGATTACTATTATAACAGCTTATATAATATCAATACATCTATAATAATCACAATAATAAAATTAACAGTAATAATGAAATAGTAACAATAATAAACATAATGATAAATATAATAATCAACTACCTATCGCACTGATCAATTCCAGCGTCCAAATAAATCGCAGCCATCATCGCCTCAAACGCATTAGCCATCGCGTGTCTCAGGTCGGATTCATGACAAAGATCCGGACCGTGTGCATACAACATGAACTCGTCTAGTCCGATTTTCTGAATTCAATTTATTCATTGATAATTATAGCATTAATACTATAATTAATAATCAATTAATAAAAAGTGATCACGCTAAATAAAAATAATATCAAACAAATAAATATAAAAATAACTTTGGCAAGACAGGCGAGATTCTTGTTCTGCACCATTGTGGATCGATATGTCGCTAAGCCGCCTTCGTCCAATTCGGTGAACATATAAAACAAATGAATCGTCGTTATGAACTCAATCACCGCATCACCCAAAAACTCCAATCGTTCATTGTGGTTAAGTGGCGATTGCTCCACTTTACGCGATCCCAACTTCGACATTATTTCCATTAACGTATGGAATCCTTTATTCATTTCATTATCACTTCATTATCAATAGATTACCTTCACTATCATAACTATTACCAGTTTATTGCCAATTCAATTCACCATGAAACACTATCGTTAACACTCAAACTACAAACAATATACCTAGCGCATCTAGCATGTATGCCCTTACAATTAGACAAATTTNCCTCAAAAATTATTTCATCGTCAGTGATTATTGTGGTTGTTGTTCTCACAAACTCGTCGCATTTGCCTCTTTCTCGCTGCCATATTTCGTATCATCCAAAATACTTCCCCATTTCTATTGAATCAAAAACAAACTCGCCTCATCAACTACCACCCTAATCCACTTCAAATGCTACACACCATAATCACTGATCACACGATCATCGTCTATCATGCACTTAAGCACTGATAAATGACTAATCAATAGGCAAACGAATCAACAAACAAATTAATCTCAAAATAAAGCTGATAACGAACCTCTCTTTTTATTACTAATTTGTTGTTGTTGATTGTTATTATTATTGCTACTACCATTGTTATTATTATGCACATTACGTGCTTTGTTATGTCTTATAGCGCAATTATTAAGCGTATTGCGCGCATGATCTGCGTTGGTGCCGTAGTTGGTGCGATACGACGGATGTGTCAAAGCAAGCTCCAACAGCGATCGATCCTCAAATTACATTCTTTAAATACTTACATAAAATATAATCCTTATTATAAACAAATATAACAATAAATTAAATAACAATAATATCAATGATAATAGCGATACCTTAAAAACATAACCGATACGTTCATTTTCGTACACCTCTAGTGACCAATGAAACCGAACATGTGAACATGCCAATATTAATAACATTGCATGCTGTAATTACACATTCAATTATAACAATAAAAATAAATAATTAACTAATTAAAATGACCTTAAGAAAATAAAAGTTGCAAATAAAATAAAACCAACTTGAACAACATC